AGGGGAATTCTGGGAGTCGAAGTCCCACACGTCTTCGAGTTGCCCAGGTCGAGAAACACTGCATTAATGGGATGACTAAAGGAGAACTGTGCATAAGGCAGAAAAAGAGAGCTGTTTTAATGAAGAGCGACGAAATGCTGTGCTTGCCTGAGGCCCAAGCCGTTCTGAATCATTTTCCTAGCATGCACCGTTCCATCCTAAAGAGGCAGGGGTTCTGGCTTTCAGAGAAGCTCAATAGGCAGCCAGTGCCACACCTATTCCTAGTAAGAGAAGGGAGTGAAGGGAAAATTCTCTGAGTCAGGTGAATCTGGATGGGTAAATGAACTATGGAATCTAAAGCCACAAAGAATTATGGCAATCAGTTGGTTGCTGCTTTCCCAAGCTTGGAATGATCCCCAGCTTTTCTCCCATCAACTGACACTTAGAATTGCTGTTTTAAACATTCCAATCCAATCAAAATCTAACGTGTGTATGGTATATAGAAGTGGAGGGGGAAGGGGGTGGGGGTGAGGAGTAGGAGTGAGAGACAAAAATGCCAACTTCTTATACGCTCCTACTGCTGTTGAAAGCAAACTTGGGAAACTTCTATTATATATATATTCCCTTTATTATAAGGATTGGGGACACCAATCCTGTTACCCAGGACCAGGACCGCAAGCTTCCTTTGATAAAGCAACTTCACTTTCTGATTCACGCTGTCATTTAGTGGCAGGGAGCAGGATGAGGAATAGCACAAAATAAGAACCACAGATGAAAGGTCCAGTCCTGCACAATTACACATTCACCACTGATGGTGGCCAAAATCTGTTTTATTTTATCTTCCAGAATAGCACTTTTCTTGTCACCAACATCTCCTTTCTACCTCATTCAACTTTCATCCTAACATCATTTAATACGTTACCCATTCAAATTACAGTACAAAACCAGATCCTTCTGTAATGTGTGTTGATTTCCAGACTTTTTCAAAAAGAAAATATGCAAAACAAATAGGTGCCTGAATGAAGGTTGGGTTCTGTACATCTCCAGGGTTTATTAAAGGCAGAATGTTGCTTACATTTGAGGGACTTTTGTAATGGAGCTTCTTTAGAAAAAAGGTGTAACTTAGGAAAAATCAACCCGTAGGCCTCTCCAGGGGAAGGGATCAGCCTCAGGCCAAAATCCCATGATGCAATTCGCACACGTAGGCCCCTTTTAGTCTCAGCTGCTTTAACTAGAACCACCTTCCCATTTCTAAGTGCTAGCAGTGAGCAAAATGCAGGCGCTCAAAGCTGAACCAGGATGACTATGTTGTTTTGTCTTGGATTATTCCCTGAAGATAATATTGTAACAAAAAGAATCCAGGAATGTTTTATATCATTTAAGAGCAAATGTGCAGTATGGTTACAGGAAGGAAGACCAGTATGAAGGGAGAATAAAATCATTGTTCCAACAGAGTGAGGTTACTCAGCCTTTAAGTAGTCCTATGGAGAATGAAGCCAAGCAGATGAACCCTCTGTTGTCTTGATGCTGGAAAATGGGAGCGGCACGTGCAAAAATTATACTTTCATAACTTCCCTGTGTTACACAGCAAACAACTCCCCTTCTACCTTGCTCATTTCTAGAAGAGCATATCCTATTGGATGTCAGCACTACTTTTCCTTTTCCTATCTATAACAAGGGCTTCATATCTGTTCAAAGTTCTTTTAAGTGTAAAATATAACCTGTGGTTTTTCAAACAATATCTACTCATGCAACAGAATAAGGTGGTAAAACAGAATGAGGATAGCCATGCCGTGAGTCTGAAGTGTCTCCACTATCTCAGGACTCTCCCATTTTATTCTGCTACATATTTAGATTCTAGCCTTTTAAGCTTAAAATACAATTAAGTCTCTCTTTTGCCTGGAAGAGCAAGTAATATGAGAGCAGAATAAGAGCAGATGCTAAAATATCATCTGGCATGAAACCCCTAGTCAAATCAATACAATTTAAGCTTTCAACTCACAATATGCCATGGCCTGATAGCTTCAGTTAAAAACAAAATGGCATCAAATGAGTTACATCAATTACTATCTTCAAATAAGTATTGGAGAAATATCCCAGGACCCAGAACAGACATAGATAATCAGATGCTTTCCCTTTTGTGAGAAAATGTCTATTGAAGGATCTGATTTACATCTTACAGGAAGTCCCCAATGACAGTTGGACAAATTACCTACTGATCCTAGTTAACGAACGCTGTCAAATTCAGGTGGTGACTCACTCATTTTGTGCAGATTGAGGGTTTATTGCTATTAGAGCATGTTAAAGCCCTCCATCATGTGAAGGCAGATGACTGTTTACTAATGCTTGATTTTAAAAAAAAATCTCTGAAATCAATAAATTAACACATGCACACTTACACACACTCACACACACACACACACTTGTAAAGATTATAAGTGTTTTTTAAGTCCATGGAAATATCAAAGAAAATGAATGAAAACAAAGCCAACCAAAAATGTTGAGTTTGCATCAGAAGGCTCAATACTTTCTCCTCAGATCCTGTTGTCATTAAGCACAACTGAATCAATAAACCAACCCACAAGGACAACAAATCCATGACACAAAGCAGCCCAGCTAAGTCTCTGGAATTTCAGTTGTCCTACAGGAAGGGAAAGTAAGCCTTCATGTTGTGACCTGAATTATCTGGTGTTGTATGTACATTGTGATCCTTGAACTGTTTTCATGTTCATGAGTTACAAAAAGAAAAAGTTCACCTTCAGTGTTGAATCTTTGTCTTCATATATTACTACCTTGATTACCAATAAACGTTTCACCACTTCTCTCCAGCAGGGAGGAAAGTCAACCACTACACAACTGTTTTTTAGAGAAGACCTTTTTGGTTCGTACACAAATTGCTGCCATCACCATCCCTTTATTTGATTTAAGGAATGGGTAAAATCTGAAAGATTGAGCTCTTTACAGGGGTTATTTGTCTTCCCATAATGCTTTGCAAAAGCATCCCAGAGGAGAGGCATGACATAGTAACCCTTTCATAAGCCCCACTGTAATTACTCTCCCTACTGCTGAGACAATGTTGGGCACAACAACAACAAAAAAGGCTCTGAAGAGGAAGCAGGTGAGGATTGCACACTCCAAATGGACATAAAACCAAACTGGAAGTCTCCTCAGTTTTACTTCCTTTTACAAGAAAAACAAACTCCCTCTAGCTGCAGCTTCTGGCTACCAAGGAAATCAGCTAGGAAGCAGCACGTGTTCCAGGAGGTAAGTGATGGAGTCCCAGTGCTTCCAGAGGAGGAAGACAAAAAGCACTAGTAAGGTAGTGCTCAGGAGACGCATGCGGGTCTTCACCAATGGAGTGATGAAACTAGCAATGGTGGAGACAAAGACCAGCAGCACAGCCATTAAGGCCAAGATCACATTGATGAATTTGCCCAGTAGAGCACGTGCATTGGCGTTTTCCACTCCCTCCAGCTGCACCACTTGCTGCTGCTGCTGCTGCAGCTCGAGCTTGGTGACCCGAGTCAGGCAGGATTCCACAGCTTCCTGTGGAAGAAACAAAGAAGGAATCAAAGTTAGCACAGTTGAGAGGTTGTTATAGGATATAAGCAATAACTCAGAGGCGGAGTTTACGCTTTTCATATTCATTGTATCTAGTTACAATGTAGTAAATGATCTTTATATTCTATCTAGTTAAAATGATCAGATAGCAGGCAATATGGTAATCTGGGCCTGTGGAAAGGCACTATGAGACAGAAGAGTAAGCACTAAGATAAATGGATGCATAATCTAGTCTAGCATAAACCAGGTTTCTGTTGATATGGTGCATCTCCTTCAGTGAAAGGCAGCAAATTTCGTAATGTTCTGGCACCAGAAAAGGGCATGTAAATTGAACAACTATGACATTTTGATACCTTCTATTATGATATTCTGATGTGACCCACAGGAAGTTTCTTAGTCATATCAAGTTCTTCCACAATTGAAGACAGTACTAAATATCTGAGGGACTGCCTCTACCTGATTACATCTGCTCGCCCCATCAGGTTGGGCAGAGAAGGCATGCCGTGGGTCCCATCTGCCAGGGAATTACATTTGGCAGGTCTCAGGAGGCAGGCCTTCTCTGCCATGGCACCCACCTTGTGGAATCTTCTCCCCCCAGAAGTGAGATTAGCTCCCTCTCTCTCAACATTCCACAAGTTCCTCAGGTTCTGGCTATATGATCAGGCCTGGGGGTCCCAGAGGACTGGGGAGATTTTGCGATGGCTCCCTTATTGTTGTTAATATCATCCTCTCGGCTTTGTGTGTTTTTATAGTTATTTTTTAATTGTGACTGTTTTTATGTTTGTTTGTTTTTTAATTAAGTGCTGTGCGCTGCCTGGAATCACTTTTATGTGAGATGGGCAGCTATGTAATGATAAATAAATAAAAGTAAATAAAAAATATGCAACTTGAAAATGAGCTGCATTGCCAGTGTATAGTTATATGGACAGGAAACCACCACAAGCCTCATGCAAATGTAAGAAATGCATGTAATAAATACATCTTTTTAGAAGGTTTAGTGGGGGGAGAGTGTTGGTTTTCCTTATGGTGAATGTCACTGCTGTACATGATAGTGGTATGGAGGGTTCCTACAATACATATAATAGTATCACACAGAGACACTCAGAACATGTTCCACTGCCTTCCCACGACTCCTTCTCTTATCAGTATCCCGTATCAGATGGAAACAATTGTCTCAGCTGCCTGAACAATGAGATTTCTTTTTCAAATGTTTTATTAGTACATGTGACAGAATGGGAAAAGGTTAGAGTGACTTGTGGAAGATACTTGACTTGGCTGTGTACAACATTCAGAGGGGCCCCTCAAAAACCACTGTTTGAAACATTAAGGGAGCTGTATCTCTCAAAGGCTTGTGTAGCCCTTCCCTGGTCCTCTGAACATGCATATACATGCATCAAAGAGCCTCCTCAGAACTGCTGCTGAAGAAAAGCAGTAGGATGGTAATATCTCACAGCAATGTAAAGAAAGTATTTTAAAGAAGCTGCAGTTCCTTAAAAATTCTGGTGAATCTTCTTTAAAAATAGTTAAGAGAAAAAAATTAGTGGCTTTCAGCCGTGATAATGTGCGTCATCTCCTGAAATATGTTTGTTTGTTTGTTTGTTTGTTT